TGCGAGGGAAACAAGAACAGCCTGATGGTCAGACAGGCCATCAATTCTTTCATAGTCAAAGCCTTTATCCGAAAGGTCGGAGCTTAAAAATACGAGATCGAGAACAGCATTCAACCTGGTGGCACCATGAACAATTTGAGTTAAACCGAAAGATACTGTAAAGTCTATAAGTTCCTTGCAAATATTACTTTCGCGACCATCACACGTAAGGGAAGGCCAGTGAATACCTGGGGCGTTAAAATCGCCCATGCAAATGAAGTTCGACGCACTAAAATTGCGCTCGTACATGAAGTTATTAAGAATCTGTAATGTTTCAATACTCGAGGCAGGAGGCCGATAGAAAACGCAAACGACAATTGCACATTTTTCGAGGCAAATCTTGCACCAAACAGACTCGGTGTCGGCTGGGCCTGTAAAGACAGACTAACACCTTGGGACCTCCCAGTGAATCTGTACCCATGCACTTTTCCATGTTCACACTTGATGAATAAAGTATTAATAAAGTATTATTATTAAAGTAAAGTACGGTAAACATGCAGGGCAAAAATTAACTGAGGTTCATTTACGAACACTGGCCTCAATTTCGTTCATTAAGCACATTTTTGAGCTGTCTCACGTGCATGATCAAGCGCTCTGACCTGCCTTGATCAAATGTTACTTACACATTTCGTGATGAGTGATTTTTTTGTGGTTCTTGTTACTGTTGTTGCTAAAACAAGCATGTGGTTTTCAGCAGCAGTTTCGTTTCATTTTACTTATCAGTTTTATTCTTCTGTTTAACATGATAAACACAATGTATAGATAGTCTTTCTTAAGTGGAAGCAGTGTTTAGCCAAGGAGCCTGATCACGCATGCAGTGTTAGCTTGTTTGGCGTTTATACACCAAAAAAAAATTCAAAATAGTATTCAGTTTCTATGAAATAATCGCTCCCGGCCCCTAACCTCGAGGTAACTTCTTTAATTCTTTGGAGTGAACCCAGAGCTGCTCTTGTAGGCCCAACGCCAGAATAGTCACGCTTAGAGCACTATTCAAGAAACGAAGAAAAAGAAAGAAAAAAAATCTTTATACACGCACGCACAACGCACTCGAACTACTGCTTCGAGCGCGCGAAACAAGCAACCATATTTAAAAGCGCACACTAGGTAGATGTGGATATTGCTTGAAATGTTCGTAAAGCCGATATTATTGTACCGAAAAAAAGAACATGCGTTTTCAAACTCAAGCCGCATCTTTGTTCGCCTAGAAGGGGCGTTATGCTCTATATACTGTACGTATGAGCTTAAGCAGGACGGAGAAAGGCCATTCATGTTTTTACGATGGGGAGGTATCCTCTTTTTTTTTATCTTTGAGAAAGCAGGAAAGGTAAAGCGAGAGTCCGAAAGTATAAATGAAGCATACTTCAATTTGCAAATTCTAAAAATTTCAGAATAGATATTCTAGGCATAACACTCTTGCCTCTAAATGATTTGACTGAAAGAAAATAAAAGAAAACATACAGTGTTTTCTCCCGCAATTTCAGCGGCAGCATATAGCTACCGGCAAGTTTGCAGGCTGAGAGGTTTCAGTGGCACTCCCTAAATCCTAAAGTCCAATACCCGGTGCGATATGTTTTCTTTATCTTCAAAACAGTGACGGGAAGTGCTAAGAGGTCTGAACACGTTGTCTCGTCACTGTCCTTTTAAAGTGAGGCTTTGAATGGTGGCTTAGCGTGTGACGTTATGTTGTGGGTGCGTTCATGAAAATGAAAAGTCCCAGTTGAAAAAGGTAAAGATTATCCGGCATACACGGCGGAGAGCGATGATGGCCGCTCACGACACAATAATCAGAAATATAGCTACAAGGACTAGAATGTTCTTCGGTTAAGATACACTTATAGTTGCCATCAAAATGTAGAATTTCACTGTACATGCCAATCAATAAGCGCCTAATGGAAGTACTGATGAACACATTCTGTGTGCGTAGGCCATAACTGAGGTTCCATGTTTTATGAGTTTCGTTTTTCTCTTCCGATTCAGAGGGTATTTTTTACACTTCATTTTATTTTTATTTGTCATAAATGTGGCATTTATCGGAGTTTACTTCTAGTAAACCCACAATTGTCCGAAACCTGAGAGTTTAATTTCGCGTTGCACTTAGCACTGAAACCTTTTATTGAACTCGTATCTGAACAAGAAAATTTCAGAACCAACTAATCGTGTTACGGCTCTTCGGAAGCTTTGAACACGCTAACGCATATATGTGCCAGCACAAACCCTTGAATACAATATTCGTGCATTTGTGCGTTAACCTAAAACCTTAAAGCTTGTTGTACAAGACGCAAGTGTATTTTGCTATATGTTTTTCACGTCTACCGCTACGGAAATCTCCTTTCAGCGCTTACGTTAGGAACAGGGAGAGAGAGATAATTCAGCGCGCAGTGAGAAAGTACTGGTCTTAGTGCAATATGAAGTCTAAAAAACGACAATGTTTCAGCAATGTTACTGATATTTTCGCTTTGATAGTTAACAAAATTACTCATCAGCAGTCTCGTGTCATCTATTTTAAAAACGACTAAAGCTTAAAAATTTACCCATAGCTTTCGAATGCCAAGTCGCTCACTCTTCATATTTGAATTCTCTATTTGAACAATGTGCCTAACGATTCAATGGGGTAGCTGTGCGCATCGCAAAAGTTATCCTCAATGTCAGTCTACGCTTTCCAGGGACAACAGCATAGTATCAATGAACATCTGCGACAGTGTTTGGTGGTCGTTCCTGTCGAAGGGATCAACAGACTTGCGATATTTGATACGAATACCTCAGATGGGTCACGCCATTGACTAAGGAGCACGTTCAAATGAAACCCCAGTATGGGATGAACATGGTGCACCACAGTACAATCTGCCCCAAGCTCCTCAATCACTGAGAACGCAGCACATGACTTTGTCTTAAAAACTTGACTTAAACAGCATGTCAAACAATGAAACACGAGTCTTTAACCTCGCAAGTTGTATCTTGGCTCCGCCGCATATCATGAAATACAAAATGATATGCCTATAGTCCAGAACAACTTCTAAAGCGTCGTAAAACGAGAACCACACTGACTGGCACACAATCTTCGGGGACTTGAAGGTTAACATGGCCGCACACAAAAAAAACCTAACTTACAGCGCACCTCCCACCACGAATTTAAAAGGGCTGGAGAATACGCAAGTAAATCGTGAACTGCGTTAAATCAGTTCGTCGCAATTCCACCCTCCAGAGCAATGTTAAGTGGCACGGACCTTCCAAATGAACGGCATAAATTTCGGGATTTATGCGTTGCAAGTGTTTGTGAAGCTTCTACTTGTAAAAAGATAAAAAGGAGCGCAGAGAAACAACGTCCACTGAGGTATTTCCAATCTTCTGAAAAGCTCTTTGTATGAACATGCCAGTTGATATTGCGTTACACTGCCGAACTACTTGTGAGCCCATCACTAACGACCTACGTCCAGGGGGTCCTGCATGCGCTGACGTCTCTTGCTATGGTTGCAACAAGTTGGTTGACGGTTGAATTTAGGACCTATTGTTGACAGACCTTGACATCGGCCTTACCGGTCTATGCAATAATGACCACATAGAATGTCGTTCAGATAAAGGACAATACAGAGTCATATTGGCCCCTACAATTAGTGTATCAGGTAATTCAAATTGTTAAAGCTTTTAACGGGGAGTGCTTCATCGGGTTTTTGTTTTCGGGTTTATCCGAAGACACGGAGCGATAACGTAAGGCAGTGAGCTACATTAAAATGAAGTAAAACATTTCACATTGGTCAGTTAAAAAAACAGGTGGAATATTTATTCAGTTTTATATTTCATCAATTGCTTTGTTGGCTATTGATAGACAAGCAAGCGACGTCTCATTGAATCTACTATAGTAATACGGGAAGGCTCAAATCACGACAAATTTTTACGCATAAAGCCTTCCAAACAGAATTGGCATCTGAAAGAATTGAGATTGAATTGACGCGTCCCATTAAAACCGCGTTGTCTAACAGTTCATCGTTATTCTCGTAAAATTTTTGAATAATAATTGACTGTCAAATGTGCCATATTGTTAATTAAGATTGGCAAAGAAGCTGCTATATTCTTAATTATTGGCTAAAAAAGTTGTCACCACGCGATCTCTCAAAGTCTAGAATTAAATAATAGTTCAGCATTTAAATGAGAACAGATAAAGATACTTGAATCATTACGTAGTAAATTGGAAGTCAAAGCGAGAAATTTGTCAATGAAAAAAATTCATGGCCAAAATTTTTCGTTTACGCCTAAGAAATACCAGACTTCGACATAATTAACTGGCCTGTTTGCATTATATCACATTGTTACCTTGAACAAACGCGAAAAAACTTCAAGTAATATCTAATGACAGATGAATACGCGACTGACACCATGCACAGAACGTGAACAAGGGCGCGTCAGATTTGTTTGACTCAGTGAATTATACAGCAATACATAAGTACGAGGTGGGGTTAAAATACGTTTTCACAAGCCTTACTGAACCCAAATAGTTGAATATGGTACACATTTAGGCCTTTTTGAGAATGAAGGCGCGTGTGTATTGCATTAAAGATTCTGAAACAATTGGTACAACTATGGGCGCCCGCCTATGATGGGATTGAATTCAGTTCCTTTTCATGGTTCTGGTGCGTACAGCAAGCATCACGCCGTGAAGTTCGCCCTGCTTTTCTTTTCTACTAATAATGAGCATTTCACGGGAACATTGCAGGACATTGATACACTGTAGAGGTGTACACCGATGAATAAAGAGCATGAAACGGATATGGATAATGTTCTCGCGGTTATTCGCCTGTGTGCCCCTCCAAAACTCATCATTACCCCTAATTGTATACGACCTAGCATTAGCTTGAAGCCCTTTTGAAAGTGTTACTTAAATCATGACAGCAAACTGCCGTTTAGTATTAGTTTTGAGTGTTACTAGTAGAAAGGCAGTACGCTCAACGTTCAGCTTTTGCCCTCACCGAAGACCTTGACTTCCTTCTCCTGGACCACAGTCTGGAAGGAAGGCGCCTCAGCCGACGCTTCACAGCGGTAGTTTCCCTCGGTAGACAGGTTCACTGATGAGATGAACACGTGACCCTCACGAGACCGGGACATCTGGGAAGCAAGAGAATCAGTCGTTTTATTTTTTTTTCTGCTAATATTACTGGACACGTGTTGGTGTTTCATGATGACGTCATACGGTGCTCAACAAAAGCAGTTGCTCAAGTGCATGATTGTGTCCTGGTGAATGCGTAAGACAGCTTTATGCTCTCCCATAGTAGAGTTCCTCTTACTTTAAATTGTTCACAACTTTTTTTTTTTTAATGTACACCATACAGGTTATGTGGAGGAGGGTTCTATGTTGGCAAAAAAAATAATCGTAGTGGAGAAGAAGCTGGACTGTCAGCCTTTCAAGCTTCACATGTATTTGACTGAAGAAGATATAGCATGGACTAAGCTGTAGAGACAAACGATTAAGACAAGGCTTTTAAATGAATTCACAAAAAAAGCGAAAAAGCATTTGGTTTATACATCAACTTTTTAGGTACTTCATGTTTTTCTCCACTGTTCCGCTCCGACTTCATAGACATGTTTCCAACTTTGTACTGACGGAGCACCTAAACAACGTGAATCTACACGAATCAGTATACTGAAATTTCCATTGATTGATGAATTGATTGATCGATTGATTGATTGATTGATTGATTGATTGATTGATTGATTGAATGATCAATCGATCGATATGACACGAAATGATTGCGTTCTCTGTAATGAGTCCAAATGTCAGACAGGCAGACGTATGGACGCATGGACGGATAGATAGATAGATAGATAGATAGATAGATAGATAGATAGATAGATAGATAGATAGATAGATAGATAGATAGATAGATAGATAGATAGATAGATAGATAGATAGATAGATAGACAGATAGACAGACAGACAGACAGACAGACAGACAGACAGACAGACAGACAGACAGACAGACAGACAGACAGACAGACAGACAGACAGACAGACAGACAGACAGACAGATAGATAGATAGATAGATAGATAGATAGATAGATAGATAGATAGATAGATAGATAGATAGATAGATAGATAGATAGATAGATAGATAGATAGATAGATAGATAGATAGATAGATAGATAGATAGATAGATAGATAGATAGATAGATAGATAGATAGATAGATAGAATACGAGATGAGATGTCAGGCACAGTACACTCACATCGACCACCACACCCGGCAGGTCGTAGTTCTGTGCGGGTGGCCTGTCCCTTGGAATGTATCGGTAGAACTCGGTGTCGTTCTTGTACCACTTGACCGAGTACAGCTCGTCGGACTCGAGGTCGAAGCTGCAGTTGAGCCACATGCCGCGACCGTGGATCGCCGCCGACGGAGCCGACATCTCCAGTAGTCGGAGACACGATATGCCTGTGCGAAAATATGGCAGAAGTTACTAGATCCACGCGCACCAAGATGGATGATTTAAACATAAAAAAAAAACTCTTCGTAAATTCAAAGTGTGTCCGGCGAAAGCCTGTGCACAATGAGACGTAGATAGTCATAATGGAACATAATGCTCACGCCTCCTATTTTGCATGAGTGGGAGGATTGTTGAGGGACTACAGGAGAGACGCATGCTTGTGAGGGCCATTCGACAAACTCGACTGCTGCAACGAGATGTCTGACGAAGGAGAGTTGCCGTGCGCGCCGCTGTGCCAGCACGTTATTGTTGAACGAGTATTTCGTACAGATTATTAACCAGGAAAGCTGAAACATGCGGCCTCAACGTTTATCACGGGCTCTGACCTATCGGAGCACTTTCAGTTGTACCTTTTTCGATTTTTCAGTTTCTATCTTTAAATAATGTCTGGTTCATATTTTGATTTGGTGATGTTCACTTAAATGCTGCTATAAGCACGCCTAAAGGCTCTTGCGGGGTGGCACTTTATGCTGCGGTTGGTATCATCCAAAGCTCTATGTGGTGACGAAACCTAAGGAGAGACAATGAAAGCGCGGGGACAAAACGAGGTAGGGTGTGCTAGCATCCCGGGCACGGGCGGACGCTACTGGTCATCGCCAGAATGAAATATTGTTGGCTTATATATATATGTGTGAAGTGACGCTTTCGCGAAGTGGTTACTAAATTGCTATAAGACGGTTCATCATCTGCAACTTGTGCAAGAGTGTATGGAGCACTATCCTTTCGGGCATGTCTTTCAGACGCAAGAACCACACCACGTGACACATGTGGATCAGACGATTAATCCCTCCCTCCTTTTTTTTTTCGCAATCCAACACTGCTCATAGCGCCATCTTTGTGCTAAGCGAATATTTCTCTTTTGATATTTCTAGAAACGCTCTATACATGGTATTTAGGTCTCGTTCAGGGGACGTGACCAGATACGCATTTACTACTTCATACGTTTTCTCTACAGCGATCTTATAATGCAGGTACACCTTGCACTGCGGGAGAAGGCATATAAGCATACTTTTTTTTTAAAATAAAACTCGTGCCTAAACGCGTTCGCTTATAGTGGCAAGAATATTTAGGTGCATCTTATTTTCATAATACGCTGGTAAGAACTAGCCGACCCCATATCAATTTTAGGGTCTAAACAGTGTGTACATTGTTCGGTAAGCGTGCAGCGTCAGCCCTTATGATCCGCAGTTCAACCCTGCCCGATACGGCGTCGTTGAATGAACTCTAAGTCTGCCACCTTCTAGAATTTGCAACGGCTCTCTGCTCTGTCACACGTCTTGTTCGGACGGACAGCTTCCCACTCTCACATAGTCGAGTACATCGATTGTTATGTGGAGTTAAACGTTCCAAAACCACCATAAGGTTAAAAGAGATGTCGCAGTGGAGGGCTGCAGAAATTTCGACCACCTGGAGTTCTTTACCCTGCAACGAAGTCTGAGCCCACGCGGGCTTACAGCGTTTTGCAGCAAATGCAGCCGCCGCAGCTGGGATTCGATACCGTGACCTCCGGGTCAGTAGCCGAGTACCTTAGTCACAAGACCACCGCGGCGGGGCATACAAGTCCGTGATTTCAGTGTATACGCTTTGTGGATCTTAGGAGCTAGATTTGTCGTCGGCTCTTTGTTACTTTGTCAATGAATTTACCTTATCGGGCAACACTCGGGTAACGCATGGCTACTCACCTAAGCGATACCCAGAGCTTCGCCCACTCGTCATGATTCACTTCGTGGAGATGCGCGGATTTCTTTTTTTAGTTTCCGCATCGCGCACGTGGGTGGCGAAAGGCCCCACTTTTTCCTGCATGCCTCAAAGGGAGTTTTTAAACTAATATATATATATATATATATATATATATATATATATATATATATATATATATATATATATATATATGAGCTTTGCGTAATAGAGATGACACTCGAGTTATTTCCACGTCACATTTTTTACCGTTAGCGGTAAATGATGTGTACATGTAGCTCGTCGTTATTATGCCAGCGGATGCATGGTGCGTATAAAGTAGTTGTCGAAAGAGACCGCTGCTAGTGAGGGTTCGCTGGTCTTGAATCTCCGGTCGGTTGTGGTTGCTCACATGTTTTGAGGGAATTTTAATGGCGTAGGCTGCCTTTCCCAGACGTTTCACCCCTGAAGAAGCCGAGTGTCGGGCCGGGGGACGCCTGTGCTTATTTGGAAAACTGGTGGGTGACCGGCGGTAACGCGGCTTTGAACCCACGACCTCCCGCAGCCGAAGCGGACACTCAACCATGAGACCACGGCTGTGGTCTCCGGTCAGGTGATTCGAAGTTTTTGGGGCGAAGCTTACTAGGATCTTTAATCTTGCTTTCCGTTGTGGTCATAGTATAGAAGTAGCAAAAACGTATGTGGGACACATAAAAAAGATTTAGTCTAAATCATATCAATCAAAATTGTGATAGAACAACTTAAAGCACCTACAAGCACAAACCCTTTATAATATAAGGTGACTTCAACGTAGACACTATAAACCTAAAACTAATCGACTTTGTAAACGACTCTCACTGTCTGCTGTCACAGTGCATAGAAAATCGTTGCTATAGTCGAAACATGTGTATGCAAATTAAAAGGAGAAGCTTACAGTAGAGGAATATGAATCAAAAGTGTGGCAGAACAATATGAAACACCTATGCAAGCACAAGCTTTTTATGCACTTCGTGTTACAAAATTTGCATAATATGCAGCGATGCTCGGGTAAAATACCGTTGCTCACCCTATACCCAGAGCTTCGCTCAATCGCCAAGATTTTCTTCGTGGGGATGCGTGGATGTTTTCTTCTGATTTTGTTTACGGTTACGGTGATTATATAAACACTCTTGGTGGTTTTCGCCTTGTCCGTCGTCATCTTCTCCCGCGTGTGTATATCTCTGTATATATACGTGAAAGCCACAAATAAACAAAATTCAGAAAAAAGCGTTCTCGATGTGCGTGACCGAGCTTCAATCCTGCGATATCTCGTTCCGCAGTGCATGACCTTCGACAATTACGTCATGCGCCATTTATTTTTATTATATAGAAGGAAACCATTCTGAGATATACATTCTGAAAATTGTAATAAGGCATGGTAAAAAAAATCAAACAGAGGAGACGTGTTTAAAACAACATTAAAACCAGTGTTGGAAGAAAAATAATTTTTCTTACACCATGAATGGAACGTTAATACATTCGTCGTACTTGAATTACTATGCGCCATTCGTCCTTCAGCATACCAAATGTAGAAATCAAGAGCACGTGGCGTTGGGTGATACGCATGGGATGCCACACGTGGTGAAATTAAAATTGTGCGAGACACAAGGTGCACTGCATCGTTGCGCACTCTGCGTTTGCGTAGTATCGCTGGCATCACCGCTCACTGCTCACGCTAGTTTTCCATTTTGGGATTGTACTCGTGGCCAGGCCAGGGAAAAAGAGGGGCGTCCCGTGGCTCATGATGGTGCGAGCTAGAGGGAAAACGGCCACTCAGGTAGAAAAGAGCATCTTTTTTTTTATCAAGTGGCCATGTTGATAATGATTTGGCTCTTGTATCCTATAATAAAGGAGAAAAGAGACGACATGGCTAAATGACGGTCCCACTATACATCTTACATCGTGGTCAGGGTCGGAATTCTGAGGCTAAAATTACACGGCAAACACCCAAGACACCCGCGCAGAAAAGAAACGTATGACACAAGCGCTTCGTAATAAGCCCCAAGGAACCTTACCGCAGAGATGTACGCACCGATAGCTCTAAAGCAAACGTGTATCAAAGGTAATAGTGCATTGCATACGCGAAAACAAGGAATCATATTCCCATGGGTGCGGGGACAAACAACTAAATGAGTAAGAAGAAAAAAGTGCGTTTGCGCTGTGCTTTTAGCTTCGGGGATATGTACCAACAAGACCCACATGAAGTTTTAATTTATTGACCGAAATGGACGTCAGTAGAGAACCTGAGCCGTGGCTTCACGGGGTCGATGCCAATTGCATGAGTTCCAAATTCTGAAGCTCTCTGTTTCACTACAGTGCGAACGTACGCCTCCGACCTGTGCTTTGATATACAGGGTGTGGTCGGCCGTGCTCGCGCAGTCATCTCTAGAGGAGAGCTTTGCACGTCGCTTGGTCTCCCCGCATACTTTGAGTTGGAGCTGTTGACCCCGTGAAAGTCCCTTTGCTCGCTGCAGCGGCCACGCTTTCTAAAGAAGTGAATTGTTAGCTAGAGAATCTAAAAAGAAAAAGAAGCTAGTACAACTGTAACAACTGTAACAATTCCCACTTGTACTGTGTATGCACCTGCGCGTTCTTTTTGTGAATCTTTCTTTGCATTTGAGCAGTGCGCAGCAGGTTTCTAGCTGCCTGCCGTTCTAAATATTACATTATATTTCTTGCTATCGCATTCATAGCTTCGCCATTGCGGCGAAACTTTGACTTCTTTTGTTCACTATTGCTCGTCAGTTGAAACTGTGGCTGTCCCCTCTCTACGGAAACTATGAAGGATACTATGAACGCTTAGAAGGAGAACATGAAGGGAGAAGAAAGAAAAAAAAGAAGGGGCAGTCAAGGTTTCGGGCGCCAAAACATTACGAGGTACGCCGCTGTGAAGCACCGCAAATTTCAACAGTATGGCTTTATTTAACGCGCACTGACATCGCATTTGGCCCCCTTTGAAATTGGACCACCATGGCCGGGACCGACCCCACGACGAAGGGGTCAGCAGTGAACTCGGACTGGAAGTGAAGCACCAGATAACCGTGCCGGACACTCACCGGGCTGTGGTTTTCGGGACGTTCTCACTCGTCTGCCCGAACATATCTGTCCACTTTGGAGGAAAAGTGAGGAGACTGTGGGCGCTATGACGTGACAAAGGACAAGAGAACGAAGACAGAACAGAAAGAAAGCGTTTAATGGTATCTGGGAACTTATCTTGCAGGATACTGTGACGAATACTATGGACGCCAAGGAAGAGATGACAAAGGAAAGGGTTAGCGAGGCGATGGAGACCGAGGAGAAGTTATCCGGCGGAGCAACGCCCTGTGCCACGTTATCGGCGACACCCTTGCTCCGAGTGCGGTGCTCGATGGCATCGTCGGCGATGCGTGAGCTCGAAGCGTTGTTCCGCGTCGGCCCTGGGAGGCGCGGCCGCGTATGTAGTAGAGAACAAGGAGCCGCTCTCGCTCACCTTCATTTTTTTTTTCTTCTCCTTTCCTCACTCAGCTTTCCACACGGCGGCTCGACGAAGCGCCGGACCCCGCCCCTCTGCTCGGAGTCCGGCGCCGGATTCGCCGGGCCTCGACGTCATGACGGCCCACCTGGCCTGCCCGGATGTGCGAGATCGAGTCCGTCATTGTCGCGCTCCTGACGTTGCTGCTTTTATTGCTGCTTTGTTGCCGCTTATATATAGAGCGAAAATGTGCGACCGACCGTGCCGCTGAGGCGTTGCGTCTTCCCTCACGCGCTGCCGTTTTCGAGCCTCGACAAAACCCAACCCGATCACCTATGAAACCAATTGTGGATCGAAGCAGGGAACATTTTGTCTGTGTGTTCTGGCCTGTTGTTCTTTTGTAACGTATTATAGCCCGGGGGGGGGGGGGGGGGGGGGGTGGACAGAAAGTTAGGCTGGGAGGTGAGATAGAAAAGTTTGCGAGTATAACCCAGCTGCAGCAAGCACATGGCTGAACTTATTGGCGAATCATAAGACGGGCAATTCCCCTGCACTGGGCGCGTTGCGAATAACGATGATGATTATGATGATGATGTTCGCGAGCATGACGATGATGATCATGCTCACAGTCATGATGATAGCTACCCTTAGCTGCACGTCACAAGAGTTTATCTGTCGCAGTGTTTACTTAGAAGTCTTTTAAACTGTTCATCTTTTGCTAAAGATGCTTTTCAGGTGATGGTCCAAGTAATTTTTTCAATAAAAGGGCGTCTGCCCAAACATTCTAGTATGTCCCCATTTTTTTCCCGTAAGCATGCCTAACACATTCCAGAATAACCTGACCAACTTTCTAGTCATTTTATTTATTTATTTATTAATTTATTTATTTATTTATTTATTTATTTATTTATTTATTTATTTATTTATCGAATACTGCGGACACGTACTCCAAGCAGGGAGGGCAAATAAAATGTTACAACAGTGAACATGTTGAAAACAAGAAGCACAAATGAAACAGGAACACTAACGCAGAAATAGGGTCAACATATTTGGCGATACACCATGCAAACAAATTGTTACTAATCAACATAATGGTGTTTTTCATGCAGTCTCGTTTTTTATAGCCCACCGTCATGTTATTCTGATGAAACTTTGTGTTAACAGAACAGCAATGACTTATGCAGCTAAACTACAATCCTTTTTTATATAACGATTCACGAGTGCTGAGTGAAAAATAAAAATAATACAAGAGGAGTCTTTACCCGCTATAGTACCCCTCACTGACACTGTCTTAGGACCTCTGCGTTAGGCCCATCATCAGGGTGCCAGTTCAGATAAGGAAATATTTGTCACGTGATTGCGTTCAATTTTTGTTTCAATAATGACCTCGAGTGCATATCATAAACAACCAAAATTTTTCTAAGATGCCGGAACCGGTTCATACATGAGAGATATTCGCCACACCGTGTAGCCTTCGTGCACTCGTGGCACACTGCCGAAAGCATGTTCTAAAGCTGAACTCCGGCTGGTAGGGTAACATTATTTGAAA